GGGATGGGGACCCCTGTACGGTGGGGACACCCTTATAGCAGGGGGTTGGGACCCCCTCATATGATGGGATGGGGACACGGTGTCCAGTGGGGGTCCCTATAAAAACAGGGGGGATGAGGATACCCTCTGCACTGGGGATGGAAAATGCCCGTGTGAAGGGTGGCCTGAGACCTTCTGTAATAGGGACCCCACGGAATGAGAGGCTCGGCTCGAGGACAGTGGGAAAGGGACTGCCAGTGCCACGGGATCCCCGTTTATCTGAGGGTGACAGTGAGAATGGGGCCCTTTGGCAGCTCACAGATGCTGGGATTGAGGCCGCATGGCTTCAGGAGCTTTGGGAATGCCAGACAGGAACCTGCTCATAGGGTTTCTCTGCAGGTCGGGCATGAGCCACTACCTCCAACCATTGGAAGAAATGTGCTGGGAAGGAAAGTCCTTTACCTGCCCGGCTTCTTCACCTATGGTGAGCAAACATCCCTCGCTGCCAGCTCAAGGTCCTGCCTAAATCCAGGGCAGGGAGCTGCTGACCCCAGGCAGCACTCCCACATCCCCACTGGGATCATCCCGAGGCTGCAGCAAGACATAAACCCCAACAACTAGTTGCAAGGCAAAGATGTACCTACCTGTTGTTGGGGTCAAGAAGGTGGTGGCGCTGGCGTTGGTGCTTCATCCCCTTCCCGTGGCACGTTGCTCTGAGTTTACACCGTAGCAGAGGGGTTGGTGGGGGTTTAGGTGGGGCAGGTTTGTTGGTGGAGGGTTTGGTGTGTGTTAGAGACAGCAAAGCGCCTGCCTTTGCTACCAAACAGCCCTGCAATAACTTGCCCCCCTGCCCTGCTCGTTTGTGTTGTAGATGGAGCCCTAAATGGACAGAAATCCCAAGAAAAGGGGAAGGTAATATGTTTAGAAGGAAAAAAAGTGACTGTTTTTCTCTCTTTGTGGCTGGAGCAGCACGGGAGAGGCGGGTGAATGCTCTGTGACCTCGGGGGTTGCTTTCCCAGTGGGTTTGCTGTGGGGAAGGGCAGCACATGGTCCTGAAAGCCAGGTTGGGCTGATCCCAAACCCATCCTGGGACACCCAGGGCTGGCAGCACTCTGATGCTGCCCTTTGGAATATGCATTTTCCAAAGGGATGGGTGATAGAGATGTGCAGATCTTAGCTTGGGACAGCAGAGGATGGGGGGCAAGAGCAGTACTCACAAGAATGCAGTGGATTGTGTTGCACCTTGTTATGTCAGGGGGAAACTGGGACCTGTTGTTTCGGCTGGAGACCTGAGGAAGTTTGCCTGGGAGAAGGTGGTGGGGCAGGAGCTGAAGGTGGGTTTGTGAAATCCATGTCAACCCCCAGGGTGGAGGAGGGAGGAGGTGGCACCACACAACACATGAGATGATCCCTCCCTGCCCTGCTCCAGTCCAACCCACCTTGTGGCCCTTCCAGGTGAGCAGAAGAGTCAAAAGATGAGAAGTAGCCCAAAATACTGAAGCTGTCCTTCCAGATTAGATAGATGACAGGGAATACTTAAGGATTCTTTGCATCCTATGTGAAGTTTAGGCCTGTTACACTAAATCACTACAATGTGGTTTTGGCTGGAGGTCTTTGGGGGGCTCTTGCTCCCAGCTGACAGCAGCCTGGTGTTTTCTTACCCAGCCAGACACATTGTGGAAGTGGATGGAAAGAGAGGCCTCTTCCGTGGTCTTACTCCTCGCCTCATCTCAAGCACTTTATCAACCATCACCAGGGGGAGTGTGAAGAAGGTAAAGGTCAGCTCCTCTCTCCATAAATCAGCTTGCTGGGGTGGCTGGTGCTACTGCAGGGGGCCTGTGTGTGCCTGCCCCCAGCGATGACTGCACATGGAGGACTAAAAGGCCCAAATCTCTCCTAAGGGCTCAGAATACTCCTCCAGGACAGGAGAACAGTGCCCCTATCCCCCAAACTTCCTTTTAAACCTGTGTAATTCCAACAACACTTCTCTTCCCCCGTTTTACTTTCCATCCTTCCTTCTCCTGTGCTCCCTTTTGCCTGTTTTTCTCCTCCCATCTAGAGCACAACTGCTCTTGGTTTCCTCCTGTCCTCAAACATTGAGGGTTTGTGGGTCAGTGTCTCCTTCAGTTTTGACCATGTTTCTTCTCTCTTCACTCAGGCCTTTCCACTGGAAGACATGGAGCATGTTTCCAACAAGGATGATGTGAAGACCTCCCTTAGGAAAGTGGTGAAAGAGGTGAGGAGGGGATATTGCATCTTCATGGGTGATCAGGGAGATCACAGTGTTGTGCCTGGAGAGCAGAGGAAGCTTAAACTGTGGGCAGAATTACTTGGAGAGAACCTCTGGGTGAGAAGGGTTTGGGATTTAGTAGCCACCCTGTGTCCAGCTATGAAATATTCCATAGGAATAGAGGTCTGCTATGAACAATAGATTTCAAAAGGGGACCCAAAATGGGTTTCCCTGTGCTGAGGGAAAAGCCTGATCTGTGCTTGTGGAGCAGTGCAGCTTTTCATACTGCTGTGGGTTTGTTTCTTCCCAGACCTCCCATGAGATGATGATGCAGTGCATGTCCCGCGTTGTCTCACATCCGCTGCACGGTGAGTCCTGTCCCCCTGCCTGGCAGCTCTCTCTGGACTGGGGATCACCCCAAAACCCCGATTACTTCATGTGCTTCTCTATCATAAATGGCTTAGTATGAAACCACAGAGCAGATACAGGTCTTAGGGTGACTGACGCTTGGGTTGGCCTTCAAGGACTAACCCAGCAGAGCAGTGAGGAGCACCATTCATTCATCCAAGAGCTCACCATATAGATTCCATTTGGATTAGGGCCAGAAATCCCTCCCATCACCTACAGTACCAGGGAGGTCACCAGTTTCTAATGAGGACCACTGAGAGGAGCTGGAGGTGACACAACTGGAGGGAAAGGAGGGCAGAAGAGTCAGGCTGTATTTTCCTTCACATCCATTGCAACCCAAACAGGATTTGTTTCTTTGCCAGCCCTGTGTTTCTCTCCTCCTAGTGATCTCTATGCGCTGCATGGTCCAGTTCATAGGCCGGGAAGTCAAGTACAGGTGAGTGGCTGCAGCTCTGAAGGGTTTGGGCACACACAAACATAAGTCTGGGAGTCAGCAGTGCCAGATGCTCCGTGCAGTGAGGGATGTGGCAACCCAGGAGGCTTGGGAGACCAGAAAGTGAATCCGAGCTGTGCTTAGAGGGTGGGTAACTGCAGGGTGAAGGGACAGGGGAAGGCTGGGCTCTGTCCCCAGCGTGCCTTGGTTCTGCCTTGTGCCCATGGGGGTTTTGGTGGCTGTAACACACGTGTCTCATCACGCAGTGAGTCTCCTGCCTTCTTGCTTCAGGTGTTAATAGAAAGAGAAGCCAGCAGGGAGGCAGAGTAGGTAACACAAGACATTGCTGAAGCCCTGCAAGAATTTTCCAAGCCTTTTTCAGTAATACTTGCCTCTCTGTAGGGCAAAACTACACATGCAGCCACATGAAAGCGTGCTGGACACCACTACAGCTAACCCATGACAGCCAGCGTGAGTTTCCAGAGACAGCACAGGGTTCTTGGGCCGAGAATCAGCCAAATCAAAGCATGTGATGTGCTGTGGCTGCAGCACGTGCATCCACTCACGCAAAGCCAAGCAGAGCTCTTCTAGCTTCAGCATTTGAGTGGTTGTCAGCAAGTTGAGCGTTGTCCTGGGCAGACCTGACCCTCCTTCATAGGTGGAGGAGAAGCAGCAAGAACAGAGCTGCAGAGCCACACTGCAGTGCTGGCGCAGTGGCTGGGGTGACACTCCTCTGGCTGGTGGCTGCAGAACTCCTGTGAAGCTGCACAGGACAGAGATAGAGCAACCCTGGACACTTACAGCTCTTTTCCTTCCTTTACAGTGGTGTGTTCAGTGCCATTGGCAGGATACTTAAGGAAGAAGGGATCCTGGGATTCTTTGTGTACGTGAGTTGTTGTTTCAGTACCTTCTCCTGTAGTCCAGAGGCACCAGTGGCTCTACCAACTTCAGTTTGGGTGGTGCTGAGCTCCAGAACCTTGCCCGACTCTGGGACTCTCATCACTCCCATGAACACAGATTAAATCTGTGACTTTGACAGCGTTCCAGCTTGACCATTAAGTTTGCCCCAGATTTTATCTTCACTCAAACCTTCAGAGTCCAGAGAAACCCAGTATTTTTTTCATACCTTTCTCTTTTTCCCTTGATGCTTCTTTATGTTTCAGTGAAGGGGCATTTAAAGCATTTGTTTGTGCAACAGGCACCAAGGTCAAGTGCAACAATGAGACCCCTTGTTGAAATAAAAGCCAGGGGCTGGCTAAGAAGCACATTCCTTGAGGAGCGCCATGGGTGCTTGTGATGAGCCTGGTTGCCTCTACAGCAGGAGCATGATGCTGCCCAGCTTAGTGGCACCGCTGTCTGGACCACAAGGAGCTGAAAGGTGCTTCCAACTGTATATGAAGTGTGGTGGTGAATTGGTGGCATCACTGAAGTGGAATTCTTGTGGACACCTTTTTCCTTGAACCCTTATTTAATGCTTTTTTGCCTTTTTTTCCCCATCTATATAAAAGCAGAACCACATGCTGCCTCTGCTCCCAGTGGGGAGGTAACTCGCCTTAGTATGTCAGCAATAGTAAAGGCAGCTCTGACATTTCAGGAGGGGATTTCAGGCCTGATGCCTTTGGCTCTGCAGTCACAAAATCTGGGCCTCCACATAAAACATAAATGCATCAGGGAGAGGCAAGCAATCATGGCGGTATCACCTATGGTCCCCTTATCCCCAAGGGGAAAGGGCCTGAGGCCTGCAGAGCTCCCATCAGTTTGAGTGTCACTACATCCTCCTTTTGCAGCCCACAGCCTCTGCTGGGCTGTGCAGCCCCAGATCTCCATTAAATACAGGTTCCTCTGGGATGTTCCCTGTGTGTGGGGCACAGCCAGAGCAGGCTGCAATCCTCCTTCCCTTTCACCTCCTGAGGAATAAACGTGAAAGGAACCGCTGCATTCCCTTCCATCCACATAAAATAAACACTGGTGGGAGCCTAATTAAACTTAATAGTTCACAGGAAAGGCTTTAACACAACCCAAAATGTCTCAGGAGGGCTCTGAAGTTATACGTGCTCTACTTCCCCACTAGGAAATCACACTGCTGGGAAGGGAGCACAAACTGCATCTGTAGAACCAAACTGCTGCTTTCCTGCTCTCCAGTCCTCTGGAGAGCCTCCCATTGCAATCCAAACACATCCTCTCCCTTAAAAATTATTGCTCCCTTAAAATCATTAAAATCACTTGTTTCTGGTGGCCTTACAACCTCTGTGCAGCACCAACAGGGGCATGCTCTGGATGTGTGCCTGGCTAGAGATAGACACTTTCAGGGGATGAGCATATCTCCTTCCCGTCGTATCTGCAGCAGTCTCCTGCCTGCCAGCAGGCTGGAAGGATGTTCCCTGGGCTCCAGAACTGCTTTGCATGATCAGCTTGAAGATGACTTGTCCCAGCTCCCTGACACTGGGGTTTCTCCTTCTGGGTCACAGCACTGTACATCACACAGCCTTCCTCATCTGCCTGCTCCTGTTCTAGCTTTTAATGGCTTCTCCCTTACAAATATTCCTGTCCACATCCCCTTGGACTTCTCACCAGGCTTGAGATGTAGCACAAAGGAATTTGGGTTTTTAAGCCCCTTTCTGCACCTCTCAGAGCCCTGGTCTCCAGTCATCCTAGAAGCTTGGCCCAGCATCCATTGTTACTTGGGTGATGGAAGAGGGATGGATCCTCATTGCACGTGGAACAAAAGATGTGATTCTCTACCAACAGATGGGTGAGGTTTTCCTTACATGGCTGCCATGGCCCAGCCTCTGTTTCGGGGCTTTATTAAGCCCCTGTTGTATCTGCAGCAGCTCAGGAGTGTGCTTCAGACCTGACTTTGAGTTAGAGAAAGGATTTTTTTTTCCCCAAAGGCTGAAAGCTAAACACAAAGCAGACCATCTCCTTGGGACCAGAGAGCTTTGATTTCCTTGTCCTGCCTGCTGCTCTCATCTATCACATCTTCAAAGCCAGCAGCTCTTCTGTTAAAGACTTCTGCTGTGCCCAGCCTGAGACGTGCGCTGCATCTCCAGAGCTGCTGGGGCCTTGACAATATACAGCTTGTCTCCAAAAAGCATAAACCCCAACACCAAGCAAGCAGCAGGCTGGAGCAGAGCGTGCAGTCCCAGCTGTGCTGCTGCAGGAAACGAGACTGGTCCCCTGCTCCAAATGGGCAGCACCATGTTTGGGAAGAAAGGAATGACTCGGACTTGTGTGCTTGGAGGTGGCTTTTCCCAGCCCAGCAAACACTCAGGTGGCCCAACAGAACCTGGGGGCATTTTCAGAATTGTCTGAACACATCTGCTGGTTAAACACAGCTTTAACCTACACCTGGATCCTTTTGCAGTGGAACAGCCACAGAGCCAAAGCAGCAGGCCCTATGCTCGATGCCTGCAGTGGTGCAGCAGATGCTGGGGAAGGGCTGACCTGGAGAAACCCTCTGAACTGTTCTGTAATGTTTTAGTGGCATTTCCTGCAGGAGCTGGGGATGCTCGTGCTGCTGTGAGCCCTGTCTCTGTGTGGATGAGGCAGAAACCAAAGCAGCCATGCTCCCAGGGGGCATCAGAGGGACTGGGGTGCTGCCCCCTGTTAATCCCACTTTGCAGTAGTGGGTTTTGCAGGAACAGTCCCCCTCATTTTCATTTCTAAAAGGAGGAAGAGTCCACAGAGATGAACTTCTCATTCTGCATCCAGAGGAGCATCTGTAAAACAGACTTAATAGATCCACTTCGTCTGTGTCTCACTTGGGTTTCAGAGCAGGAGTTGGCCAAGGAGGCATTTGGGGTAGATAAAGGGGACTTGGCTGAGTTGTGCCTGAATGGCAGATCCCAAACTTCCTACTCCAGAGCATCCCCTGGCTAGAGCAGCTGCAGCACATGTAGGACCATGTTTGAAGGCCTGGAGGGCTCTTCCTTTCTCTTCCTCCCAAAGTAAAGTTGCATTCTGGGGGAGTGGGGTTCCTCTGTGCTGGTGGAGGGAGGGCTGAGCACCTCAGAAGGCAGCACTTGGACCCTTCTGCACCTCACCCCCGTCTTCTCACCCTTGCAGCGGTTTAGTCCCTCACGTCCTGGGGGATGTCATCTTCCTCTGGTGCTGCAACCTCCTGGCTCACTTCATCAACACCTACGCCGTGGATGATAACGTGAGTGCAAGTGCCCAGTGGAGGGGTTGGGAGGCCCGTAGCAAACTGCTGCAGTTGGAAGGAGTTAATGGGAAGTGGGGGTTCATTTAATGCAGACACTGGGCTTTGAATGAAGCCCTGTGAAAGTGCTGAGGTGCTGCGTCTGCTCAGGGCTGTTTCAGATGCAGTTTAGGAGGAATCAGCTTTGATAGCAAACGTCTTCGCTGATTCCCAGCTGGGATGTAGTGTGATTACTGTGGCTTTCCCCCTTGTTCCCCTGCCCCATGCTCTTTGTCTGAGGCTCAGAGGGATGTCACCTAGTGACAGTGGCAGCCTGGTATCACCCGTCTCCTCCACAATCCCTTTGGTTTCTCTTTGCAGTTCAGCCAGGCATCAGTGATCCGGAGCTACACCAAGTTCGTGATAGGGGTATGTAGGCAACTGCTGTGTCCTTTCTCCTCTTCCTGCCATCTGTGGGGCGAGAGCTCATGGTCTGGGGCAGAGACTGGTCTGTCCTTTATATCCAAATGAAGAGAACTTTGCTAACATGCCAAAGCTGGGAACAGCTTTTCTGACACGGTGAACATTAGAGAGGCTACTGGTTTTCTGTGCTTTCAGATCGCTGTGAGCATGCTGACATACCCATTCCTTCTGGTGGGAGATCTCATGGCAGTGAACAACTGTGGGTATGTCCATCAAACTGAGATCTAAGGCTTTCCCTTCCTTTCTTCCAGCCCCTTGTTGGCTGAATCCTCTGCTAACGATCGTAAAGCTTTCATACAGAGCCATAAACTTGATGGCACCTCGCAGAGCCATCTCCTTTCGTGTCCCAGGTTGCTTATAATTTTAGATCAGAGGACAGAGACAAGAGCAGCACAAAAGCTCAAGTGGAGAGAAATAGGGAGAGTTGTGGCGGTGTGGTCCAGTCTGAACTAGACCTGAGGCAGGAGGGATCAAAGGGGCTGTGCTGGGGAGCAGCACAAGGGAAGACAAAGCTGGACACAGCAATGGGTGCAGACAGGAGCAGGAACAAACTGGCTTTCCCAATCCCACTGCTGCAAGACATCTTCTGCATTCATGCTTGTGGGAAGGGGACTGGATCCCAGGTGCTGGTGTGGTGTTTTCCTGGTATCTGCTGGCTCTTGAAGGTGTAGGTACAGTGCATAGCCCTGGATTAATGCATCCAGGTAACACTCCTTGTTTGTACACTCCAGGGGTAATTAAATTACATGATCTGTTGCATTGTAAATAATGAGCTGGTCATTTGGCTTTCAGCCCAGTATAGACACTGTTTGTGTGTCCTCACTTGCAATGACTGTTCCTCTTGTGTTACCTGTTGGATAATGTGACACCTCCACAGACCACCTCAGCTATTTCTTGTTGCCATGCAGGTTGCGTGCTGGCCTCCCTCCCTATGCTCCTGCATTCACATCCTGGATCCACTGCTGGAGGTATCTCAGTGCTCAGGTGAGGGGCACACGCAGGGCTTGGGGCTCACAGTGCTCCTTCCTGAGGTTCCTGAGCCACATCCTTCTTGTGCTGTAACCTGTCTCCATCCTCCAGCTGTGACACTGGTACCCAGCGTGGCAGTACTGCTCTGCCTGTTACATACCCTGAGCTTGCAGCCTGGAGCCTTTTAGCCAGTGCATTGCGCGCAGCAAAGGAGGGCGACTCTGCCCCTCTCTACCCTTATCCATAGGGGAAAGGCCCAACGCCAGCACCCAAGGGGCTGAAACCCCACTTTCTCCTCTGTAGCACCCCGGAGTACTCAGACCTTGCAGTGGGCATGAGTCGGTCCCTGCTAAACCAGCTGCAGATCTCTGGCCAGGTCCCAGTGTGGCTGCCCTGACCCTGCACTTTCTGTTCTTCTCCTCTTCCTCCTCCTCCCCAGGGGCAGCTGTTCCGTGGCTCCAGCCTGCTCTTCCGCAGAGCTCCCATCCCAGCCGCCTGCTTCCCCATCGACTGACTCCTGGGCTGGGAGAGGTGATGAACTTGGAGTCCTCAAGAAACCCTGAGCTTGATTTATGTATAGTTTTAGTTTTTGATCCAAACTCCATGGTGCCAGAACAAGACACCTCCTCTCCAGTAAGGCCAGCACCAAACTGGCTTCTGGACATCTTGCTTCAGGCTCCAGCTGGACCAAATCTCCATCCTCATGGCTGTTTCAACCAGGATGTGCAGCAGAGAGCAGAAGAATGTTGACTTGTCTCTTTGGTCCAGTTTGTGGCTCTGGAAGTCTGGGAAACCAGGAAATGCCCAGATACTAAAAGAGGGACAAAAGACTGCTTCATTCTGCCTGAGCTGGGGAGCAGCAGGAGACCCAGGGTCTCCTTGCTGGGGAGGCTACAGCAGCTGACCAGCTTCCTGCCTCTTCTCCTCTGGAGAGGGCAAACGTTGGCATGGCTCATCCTGGGCAACCTGTATTTGAGGTTTTGAGGGTACCTGAACAGTAGGAAGCTCACCACCTCCCAAGGTGTGAAAGGGAAATTGGAGTATCAAAACAGAAGAGAGAAACAAGTCCCAGTACAAAGAACAGCACAGTCCCAAAGGGACAGGCACAGCTCGGCTCTGGAGTGGTGTTGGGTCTTGGACATGGAGAGAGCGCTGAGAGGGCTGTGTGCTGTGATGGCAGCTGCCTTGGGAAGGCTTTTCGCAGCAGGATGGGCTGATGTACATAGGATTCACCCCACAGAGCTGCTGGGTTTGTGTTTTCCAGGGGAGATGGGGCCTGGTGGCACTGCCACGGGGGTACCACAGGAGCATCTCCCAGCCGTCAGCACCATGAGCCCCAGCATCGCTGCTGCACTGATGGACTTGGAGCTGCACGTTGTGGTGCTGAGCTGCTGCCTGGCTCTGTCCTGCTTGTGGTTACACTGAAGGGTTCTCCCCGCAGGAGCAGCACTTGGTCCAGGGCTGGAATAAAGGAACAAACCTTGAGCTGGCCAAAGGCTTGCAAGGCACCAGGATCAAGGGCTCCTTGTGCACATGTTTGGTTCTTCCATAGCAGCACTGGTGGCAGCAGGGAGGGATTTATCCTCAGCTCTCCAGACAAGAGGGTTATTTGCACCAGTCTGTGCTGTCACAGCAGCCAGGCTGATTCCCCCGTTTGGTTCCCCCACGAAGCAGTCTTTTGCACAGAGGTGTTGCTGCACTCCCTGTGGGGAGGCTTTGGTCCCCGAGCAGGTTGCTGTGTGGGGTCACATCTCCTTATCCTCTGGGACCCCAACCTGCTGTGGCACAGGGGTTTCCCTGCATCAGACGGGTTTGATCCACGCCTCCCAGCCAGGGCTTGTGGGACAGTGCTGGGACCAGCAGCCCCAACCCAGCTCCTTTTGGTGTTGTGAAGTGGGTCCTGACTTTTCTCCCTTCCTTCCAAACAGTTTGTGTTACGGTAACAAGAGTTAAATAATGCATGGTCCTGTTCCCTAACACCAGAGATGATTTCAAAGAGGATTTAACTATGCTCCAAAATACAGCTATAAAACAACTAACTTGGGTGTTTCTTTTTATTAAAATTGTTATTTTTTCTGCATAACAGGCTCGCTCCCTCTGGGAAGGTTTGAGACAGCCACTTCCTTCAGTTTCTTCCCCAAAGCAGGGGCTAATCCAACTTGTGGCAAACTCAGATTCCCTGTGAGCTTCCATAGCTCTGTGGAAGTTGGTGGGCTTAGGCTGAGCAAATGGCACTGAGTGCACCCAGACATGAAAGCAGGTATTTGGAGTTTAGAATTACAGATTCCCAGAGTGGTTTGGGTTGGAAGGGACCTTAAAGCTCATCCAGTTCCAACCCTCTGCCACGGGCAGGGACACCTTCCACTAGAGCAGGTTGCTCCAAGCCCCTGTGTCCAACCTGGCCTTGAACACTGCCAGGGATGGGGCAGCCACAGCTTCTCTGGGCACCCTGTGCCAGCGCCTCAGCACCCTCACAGGGAAGAGCTTTCAACCCTGAGCTGATGGAGACCCCCTTGGTAGCTCAGCTGCTCCATCCCCCCAGGCACCTCAACCCCTGGATCCTCACCCAGTGACCTTTTATCACAGCTGGTTTCTTGCCTACCCCAGCACTGGGCATTGCATCTCCCAGAACACCCAACACCACCGGAGGAACATACAGGAGCCTTCACCCTCAAAGTTAAGGCCACCTTCTGCTGGTCAAACACTGGTAAAACCTCCTACACCCTATACACAGCCTGGCTGCAGCCACTGCAATGTAAAGGGCAATTTCCTTTCCTTTGAGGAATTGACTTCAGGGATTTAACTAAACCTGCACCAGAGCAAGCATCCTGCCAGCAATTTCTGCTGAGTTCACTGGGACCCACAAACTTCGCTGGAAACACATCACTTGAATAGAGTTTTTGGTCACTTTAAATGAAACCCACGTTTCAAGGCTTTCAGAGCACTGCCTTAGCTTGAAGTAGCAGCTGCCATTTATAGAAAGATTAAATATTTCCTTACCTCCTCCCATTTCTATCCCTGGTTCTTCTCATCTGATGCTTCCTTTGAGGTGTTACACTGTGGGGACTGTGTTTGCACCAGGAGCAAAGAAGCCAACCCAAACCCTGACTGCACACTCTCCTCCCTTAAATTGCTGCCTCATTATTGGGTGCCTGGCCCTGCAGCTGGTTGTCATGTAGCTGATGAGGCCCTGCTCCCATAGGAGATGAGATCTAGGGTGAAACTTGTGGTTGGGAGAACAAACCAAGGGTTATGGGAGGAGGTTTGGGCCCAGCGCCTGGGTTGGAGCCAGGGATTTCACCCCCAACAGCCCCAGTGCTCCCCTGTCAGCCCAGGAAACAGAGTTGGGTTTAAATATTGACTTTCTCCTGCACAAAGGAGGGCTGGGTGGAGGTTGCTGCCAGCCTGGGCCTGTGTGGGTTTATCAGCCTTCAGCGCAAAACGGAGATCGCCGGGACTTTGGCCTCATCTGCTCCCAGCTGCTGGGGGAGAAGGGAGGCAGCCGGGAGAGGGAAGCTCAGGTCAAGGCTTCCCTGTCCGTGTGCCAGGTCTGGACACTTGGATCTGGTGGGATTTGTGTGCTGGTGAAGCCTTTGTGCCCAGGGAAAGCACAGCTGAGCTCGGACCGATTGCATTGTCCTTCCCTTTCCCCATGCAGAACCGTCCTGCTAAAGAGCTCTCAGTTAACCCCAAACCCCCACCCGGCCACGCTGCCCTTCCCGCTGCGGAGCCGGGCAGAAGAGCAGCCCAGCAAAGCTCTCCCAGTGACTGCACAGTGCCCATCACCCTGGTTTCTGGTCAGCAGGTAGGCCAGGGCCTGCCAGCTCCCCC